TTGATAACTAGTATTTCTTTATCTCAAAGGACCTCTAAACACTTGATTTGTTCATCCTTTAGATAGCTTTGTAAATAAAACCAAGGGTTCCTCCTATGGTCTAGACAGCTTCTTAAGGACAGATAAAGTCAGCATTCCTAAGCACCAGGGTAGCCAAGGGAGTGTTGTAGATTTATAGGGGTAAGATATTGTCTCTTTCTTCCACTTCCCACCACTTAGTTCAAACCCATAATTTTAATTGAGATAAGGAGAACTGTCTCTTAGGAAGAGTTGGGACAGGAAAAAAAAAGAAAAGCTGTGGTGACCTGAAGACCATTTGAGTCATTTCTTCCGTAATTACAATCTAATTTTCCAATAAATTGCAAGCATTCCTAGAACCACAGACTTCACTTAAGCCAAACTCTGTCAATTTCACACTGCCATGTATGGATGAGCATAAATGAGTTTCTCTTTTCAGGCCCCAATTGTGTATATTTACAGAACTTCATCAACAAAGTTATTCGTTTCTTTCCTTTTCTCCTTTGTATCATAGCTCATTTAATTTCAATATAATAAAATCCACTAACCCTCTAGAAACTAAGGTTTAAAAAAGTTATTTTTCCCATGTTTAGTTATTGCAACAGATATTCATCATAGCTAAGGCAAGACCACTATTTAGTAGCGTAACACCATGGTCCTTCAAAAAATAACCATAAACAAATCTACCTATTTTTCATCCCAATATTTTTATCGTTCCTTTAGGCATATGCAAAGATCATATTCACTCCTTACTGGATAATTCATTCTTTCTTCGTGAAATAGCTGTGGCAGAGGGAGCCATAAATAAAATAAAGCCTCCTAAACGAAGGTTTGCTTTAGTGTGTTCAGATTGACACATCTAGTAAATTCTATCTAGTAAATTCTGATATTTCAAATGACTCACCATAACAGGTATAGATCTGGATTTTTAAAAAATTGACATGATTTATCGACACATCTGTGGGTTTTCTTTGAAATAGTAGAGCTTTACTGACTGTGACATTTTGCATTTTAAAGAAATTTCATTGCTTTCTCTTGTGTTATAGATAATTTTTATATAACTGAATCGTGATTCTCCAGTAAATGGACAAGAAACATAAACATATAATTCTCAAAAGAGAAAACACAAAGCAAAAACAGCGAATTAATATATGTTCAGCGCATGTGTTCAGTCTCATTAGTGATGAAAGAAATACAAATTTAAGAAATATGTCATGGTGACTTACCTCCTTGTTGACACGAGCAAAGGAAAAAGCAACAGGAATAGAGAAGACTGGCTAGAGAGCAGTGAGATGGGCACTGTCACCTACTGAGGAAAGATGGAGAGGTGGATTCCCTGGGTTCTGTAAGGCTACAAGAACTGGAAACATGCTCAGGTTACCTTAGGCAGCAGTATCTTGTGAAATAAATGCCTGAGGGAGGGAAAATTGGAAACATGTGATCAGTCCTCGTGGCACCTAGAATGTTCTTCAGGATCCACAGTTCTAGAAGTTCAAGGGCAGCTACGGTCACTCAACTTGCTTGAGTTGTTCCTACAGAGTCTGGCATACATTTCTCCCTCCCATAGTCGTCTGTCATATGGTAATACAGGACTCTCTCTGAAGACTGTCTCCAACTGGCTAAATAAAAAAGGAGAGCATTGGTCCTCTTGAATGGAAAGTCTAAGGACAGGGTTTGCTCAGGACAGCTGGAGCTGAGGGCTTTAGTGGAGGTATTCTCTGTTTCCATCAGCCCTGCTGTCCTTTGAACTGGCTTCACTTTAAGCTAGGCTTTTTCCATATGGCCCCTGGTAGGTCACTTCACATCTCTAAACCTGTTTCCTCATTCTAGAAAAATGGAGCTACTAGCCACCTGCATAAGTACAATGTGAGGATTCCATGAGATAGATGATATGTAAATGCTTTCAAGCTGCCACATTTCAGAGGACTTTATTATTTGATATGAGCTCAGTGGCCTGCTTCGGAACAGTCTTTAACATGGCATCTACTTCCCTGTCTCTGATTGTTAATGAGATGGTATTGCTGTTGTTAAGCAGGCCTGCTCTGCAACTTGGCACAGGGGGGGAAAAAAAGTCATCCTCTTTATCAAGAATATCAAGAATGAGCGGCATTATTATTCTTTTTTAAATTGGTATTTAAAAAAATTAAGTTCTAAGGCCCTGGGAGCCTACGGAAGAGTCTCAAGGACCACACTGTGTGTGGAGGGGCCGGGTAGCAGTGGGCAAGGCTGACTGGGTGGAGCTGCCCTGTTTAATAAGAGCAGGCCTGCTTTTGTCTGTTTCCTACACCATGATTCTGGATGAGATTTTACATCAAAAAGGAGAGTGGTAATATGATTAAAATAGGAGCACCTTTGGCAGCAAAACAGAAGAAATGAGCCAAATGCTGACATTAATTGACTAAAAGCTAATGAAAGCAGAACTGAATCAATCAATTACAGCAAAATTGAACATCACTTGACAATATCTAGAATTCAATATTTTTAAAGTAGATCAGTAATAGCTCAAAGTGGTACGTATGTCATTGGTCTAGGCCTGAGGAGGACCTCTATTATTCCTCTGGCTCACCTCTGAGACTAAGGACACTGAGAAGCCTCTGCAATGGATGGGCTCAACCGGCCAACCAGCCCTCATACACTATATGGTACACAATATTATTACTGTTTACCAACCCCTCCTTGTTCTGGCCAATGCAATGTGAGTAGAAGTAGTGTGTATTTTCTCTTTGACTCTGAGCAAATTGCCTACCTGTCTCATTTTTCTCATCTATAAAGCATAATACCTACATTACAAGGTTGCTGAAAAGATCAAATTATAAACACACACATGCACGTACAGCTAGCATTTAGCAGTATCTAACAGTTGGTAGGGAATCAATAAACCTAGGTAATCTTTCTCTCTGTTTCCCTCCTTCTAACTATTTCTAAGTTTGGTAATTTGCTGTTTTGATCTCACAGGCTCTAGAACTAGGACTCCTTAAAGTCCTTACTCCAAGGTCTGCCTCCTCTACATCCCTGCTAGGGCTTTGAAACTAGAAGTGAATGCTGCCAAATCCTCTGGCTCATCGCTCTTTGTAGTGCACTTCAACTCTGAAGACACAATCATGGCCAGGGTGACAGGCTAAAGTCTGAGTCAGGGTGAGCTTTTGGGGAAACAGCGTAGAGTGGGTGGCGGTCTCAGCTCTCTTCTTGCCCACACTTTAACTGCTTTCTGCCCATATCCATTCAGGACATTGTCCTGTTTGTCTCCTCAGCTGTCTTCTGTATTAACCTCCAGCCTGTTGGGTGCATTCACTTCTGCCAGCTGGACTTTCAATATGTATTTAAAAAGACACACAAACAAACAAACAAAAAACTTTACTAGAAGCAAAAGGAAAACCATCATATTCAAAAATATAAATACAAAAGCAAAGAAATGCACACATTTACTGGACAAAGAGGTCTCATCTTGAGTAAACTGGTAGCACTCAGAGATGTCTGGAGGTCTTGGAGGCTACACGCTATCCATTAATACCTCCTGTCAAATTCTGAACACGCAGAAATTACCAGATCTCAAAGTCCTCATTTCTTGTTGAATTTTAGTGAAAAAGCTTCCCTGGATCCCACCGTAGTTGAGTCTTGGAACAGGGTGTTAATCTTTATATTATAAAATGTGCTTGACTAGAGAGAATAGGCAGTACGAAACATTATATTTTTCAAACGGAAACATAATATCGAAAAAAATAAAGAGAAATACTGTTCCAGTGACTTGGAATCCCAAGTTCTCAAAGGGAAGGCCAATAAAGAAGTGGGAGGAGAAAGTCTGAGAACCGCCATGAAAAGGGTCCTGTTCCCACTGGGACCATGGTCCACTCACCAAATTGTCAGAGACGTTTGAACCAGAGCAACTCCATCTTGAATAGGAGCTGGGTAAAATAAGGCTGAGACCTACTGGGCTACACTCCTAGGAAGTTAGACATTCTAAGTCACAGAATGAGATAGAAAGTAGAAACAAGGCACAGGTCATAAAGACCTTGCTGATAAAACAGGCTGCAATAAGGAAGCCAGCCAAAACCCACCAAAACCAGGATGGCAATGAGAGTGACCTCTGGTCCTCACTGCTACACTCTCACGAGCTCCATGACAGTTTACAAATGCCATTGTAACCCTCTATGGTCTAAAAAGGGGAGGCATGAATAATTCCCCCCTTTCAGCATACAATCAAGAAATAACCCTAAAAACGGACAACCAACAGCCCTTGGGGGTGCTCTGCCTATGAGTAGCCATTCTTTTATTCCTTTAGTTTCCTAATTACTTGCTTTCACTTTACTCCATGGACTCCCCTCAAATTCTTTATTGCGCAAAATCCAAGAATCCACTCTTGGGATCTGGATCAGGACCCCTTTTCAGTAATAAACTTGTAGCATTTGGTGTTTTAATGTTTGTGTTTTCTTGATTGTTACCTCATTTAGCCTCAACTGTTTAAAGATGGTCTTTTTGGCCACTTTATTCAGCTTTAATTGTTCTAAGGGGAGTGAAGAAAAGGTCATTTACTTTGAAAAATCAGAGGGAACGTGTTGATGCGGGAAGCAGCTAATCCTTGGGGTACAGTGGCCCTTGGTAGTGCAGGAAAGTCCTGGGGGCCACCTATAACCCACCCTTCTCCTCTACAGCATCTCCCACTGTAGTCATTCTCCACCGAAGCCCCAGAGGGTGCAGCACTTTGCCACAACAGAGTACTTCTGGGTTTCTGTTTCTTTCTGAGGCGGGCCAAGAGCTCTCAGCCCATTGGCAGGGGCGAGATGACGGCCACCCAGCGAGTCCAATGGGCGTCGAGCGCGTCTAGGCTTAGTGGACTTGTCAGCGCCTGCCTGCCCTAAATCCGCAACTTGAGCCCTGGGTCTTTCCTGCATTCGCCTAAACCTGGCAACGCTGAACAACGAAAAACAAAAAAACAAAGCAAAAAAAAAAAAGGCAAAACCAAAAAACATCTTAAAACACCACACACACACACACACACACACACACACACCCGCGTTCAGAAAGGCGTGCACTTCCCACGCCTGATAACCCCGCATCGCAACCTCGCAGCTTCCCTGGCGTGCAGCGCTCATTTACCAATTCCCTTCCTGGGAGCTGCAGACTCCCTCGCTCGGCCCCACTCCGTTTTACCCTTTCCCCAGCTCCCGCCTTAGCCAGGGGCTTCCCCGCCTGCAGCTAGAGTTCGGGCCAAAGCGCCTCTCCGCGCCCGCCTGCCGCTCCCCGGGCTCCACTTTCACTTTCGGTCCCGGGGCTGCTAGGCCGGCGGCGGCGGCGGTGGTGGCGGCGGCGGCGCAAGGGTGAGGGCGGCCCCAGACCCCCAGGTACAACGCGCCCGAGCCGCGGGGAGGGGACTGCGGGCCGGGAGGAGAGCGCGGCACCCGTCCCTTCCCTGCGCCAGCTGGGAGGGCCTGAGGGCCTGGGCACGGGTTGAGAGAGACTGGGCGCGGGAGGAGGGAGACGGGGCGCGAGACAGGGCGCGGGAAGGGCGGGGGAGTCGCTGGTTAGGCCCGAGTCCGCGGGGTACCCGGCAGGTCGGCGGCGGGCCCACCCCTGCCGGTCCCTGTCCCTGTCCCTCCGGGCGCGTGGCCGGCGCCCCTGCTCCGCGGGTCTCCCCGCTATTCCGCCGGCGGGAGCCTCCCTCCGCGGTCCGCGTAGCGCCTGCATGCCTGCCAGTCCTCCAGGCCACCGACGCCCGCGCGAGGCCAAAAGGCGGGGTGGGGCGGGCGGCTGGCTCAGGCTGAGGAGGGCACGTGTCCATAGCTGCCAGAGAAACCCAGAGGCTTTGGGTTAACGACTCTGGTGGGGTGGGAAGCGCGGGCCGTGTGTGTCCATAAGGTCACTTCCCTCCCTGCTTCTCCCGTTCTTCTGGTCGGCAATTCTCTCTCTCCCTTTGGCTCTGACTGGGTTTTATTCAGATAAAGCACCTCTGTTGACGCAAATTAAAAGTTTCCTATCTGGGTGCGTCACTGGCCAGGTGGGCCTACAAAGTTAATTCCGTGAGGGGAAGGGGAAGAGCACACACTTCCTCACGCTTTTGGATTTCTTTGTGTAAGCTAGGTTCGGGAAGAAATTATCTGTTTCCTATTAAACACCCAGAGTATGCGCTTTGAACTCAAGACATGGTCAACAATTAACAAAACAAAACAAAAAAACCTGAAAATTGGGCACAGTTGTCTCTTCCCTGAGGATTTGGAATTAGTATAAGTAGCACATTTTCAGGTGGTACCTGAAGAGAAACATTCTAGTACTTTTTTTTTTTTTTTTTCAAATTCAGCATTTTATTATTTACCTACAGTGCTTGTTAATTTCATTGTTCAGGAAATTCTGGAAGAATCTCAATTACTTCTTGATGATCTATTTCATATAGTATAGTGCCCCAATAAAAGGAGGGGAGGCAGAGGTTGCAGTGAGTCAAGATCGCGCCACTGCACTCCAGCCTGGGAGACAGAGCGAGACTCCGTCTAAAAAAAAAAAAAGGATCTTGGTAAAGCTAAAACAGCAGGGAGTTTATACTTACTGCATTCCAACATTCCAACTTGTTGGACTGCATTCCAACAAGTTGTGTGAACTTAGCAAAGTTATATGAATGTCTTTGCTTCAGTTACCCCACCTTGAATGAGAATAATAGGCTATTAGAGAGAGTAAGCATGTGTAAAGTGCCTGGCGCTTTGGAAGAGCTTAGTAAATATTAGTTCTTTTTCCTCTTTGGCTTCTATTCCTTTAAGTGTTAGTGGAGTGTAACTTCAAAGAGAATTGTACTTCTCTTGGGAAGTGCTGCTTATATTGAGTAGACTACTGTTTTTGAGAGCTTTCTTTTTTTTAACTGCATCCCTTTCAGAAAATTGTTAGTAAAACCAGACCCTAGGAGACCAGCCAGAACCATGAAATGCCATGTTTCAAATTGGAACACTTACTATTGGAAGCAAAGCCAAACAAGAGCTAATTTTTCAGGGGAAGAGCCAAACACACGAACATGATCACAGAATCTTGGATGTCATCTACTGTTTGGGATTAATAAGATAATTTATCAGTGAAGCCCTTTATTCACTACATGGAGTTTTTACCAAGCCCCACTCATGCACTGCATCCTCCTTGAGACATAACTGTTTCTCTTTGGCCCCCTCATGGACCCAACCCTGCAAAGCCTCTGATACAAGGTCCCAGTACCAACCTCTTCTGCAGCCCATGAGCCTTTCTGTCAGCTCATAACCAGCTGGAATTTCTAGATCTCCTCTGGGGCTGTTGGAGAGGTCTCCGGGACTTCCAGAGTCCTTACATGCTTGAACCTGCCACCTTCACAGAGCCCTCTGGATCCCATCTTGGGGCAAGGGCAGTGCTCATTAAGCTGTTGCTGCCAGCCATATGGAAAGCAGAACACAAGTTCCATTTACTGTCTAGTTCCTCAACTTCTAGGGAAAAAAAAAAGTGTTCTCCCTGTTCACACTTCCTGTCTCACCTGGGTGGTGCCTTTTGAACTGGGATTATGAGATTTCCAAGACTCTCTCTACTGTGTAGGTATCCTCTCTGTTTAGCCTCCAGATTGCTCCAGAGGTGAGGAGAAGGGAATTCCCTTGAGCTGTGCATTTGGAAAGGGTGCAAGGAAGTGAGGGGTTAGGGGAGGCACTTCAGTCATTGCCTTGAATGAGTATCCCATCACATAGAGTTGAAAGTAAAAACCAGGGTTTGGCAGGGATGAGCTTTTCAATCTTGGCTTCTCAGTAAAATCTCTGGACAGTTTAAAAAAAAAAAAACCCAAAACAAGTAATCAAACAATCCATAAAACCATACCCTGATCCTATCACCATAGATTCCAGTTTAATTGTTGTCAGTAAGGACCCAGGCACTGAAAACTTTAAAAGCTTCCTAGGTTACATTAATATACAGCCAGAGTTGAGAAACTTGACATCTCAGAGAGGGAGAATTCCGTGTACTGTGAACACTCTGAGGGATCCACATTGTAAGGTTGCTACTTTTCCCAACTGGAGCAAGAGGAGTTTGGGCCAATCACTTGCATTCAGCTGGTATGGGCCCCTCTTGGCAAACACTCATTAGAAAGGTGTGTTTGTGTAAGAGAAATAAAAACTTATGTTTGATTCTTGGGGTATGGATTGCCAACTCCCTTAAAATTCACATTGCCTTTTTTTTTTTTTTTTTTAGACGGAGTCTTGCTCTGTTGCCAGGCTGGAGTGCAGTGGCACAATCTCGGCTCACTGCAAGTCTGCCTCCTGGGTTCAAGTGATTCTCCTGTCTCAGCCTCCCAAGTAGCTGGGACTACAGGTGCATGCCACCACACCTAGCTAATTTTTGTATTTTTAGTAGAGATGGGATTTCACCATGTTGGCCAGGATGGTCTCGATCTTTTGACTTTGTGATCTGCCCACCTTGTCCTTCCAAAGTGTTGGGATTACAGGCGTGAGCCACCACGCCCAGCCTAATACTCACATTGCTTATATGTCTGATGACCTTTAAAATTAAGTGCAAAATAGGGTCTGCAGCATGACTTCCACGTGTTCTTGGCAGAATCTTGGAACTACTCCTCTCCCCGCCTTTCATATAACCATTCTCCATCAAGTCCTCTGGGAGTTCCCTTCTGTCCACATCGATTGCCTGAGCTGCCTATATGTCCTTCCTTTGTGCCTTAGCTCTCCTGCCCTGGTTTGCTCTACCTGTGGTGCTGTTAATGCTCTCCTTCATTTCAAAATCTGACCTATCCTTTCACAGTCAAATGCTGCTTTTGTGTGAAGGCATCCCAAGGAGTCACTGCAGCCAGAGTCTCTCTCTCTCTCTTTGGAAATTTAATTTCATTCTTTCCAACACCTTTTATTATTATTTTAAAAATATCTCACACTTTCCACATTGTGTTTTATTATCTGTGCGTGTTTTCTGTCCTTCCATATTTTGAAATCCTTGAGGGTGGGGCCGGTGTCTTGTGTATTGTTTCGTCCCACTCAGGACTCAGCACACTGCTTGTGTGTAGCAGGCATTCAACACATACTTGGATGATTGTAAGAGAGATTCTAGGTGATTGATAACGTTTGCCACAAACTACTGGGAAAATTAAACTCTTTAAGCTCTTCCTGGCTAAATAAATATGTAATTAACTTTTGGCATGACAATGTGAGGAAGACACTGAAGTTATTAAAGGTTACTGCTACATGTACTCGCAGGGGCAGTGGAGACCTTGTTTTAGTGTTGGCTGCCGCAGTGTCACCATTTGATTTCCAGGGCATTACGGTGGCTTTCTCCAATGTCCAGTGTCAATGGGGAGTGGTAGCTTGATCAGATGTTCCTCTAATATGGTTCCGGTTTTGCTTGTTTCATGAACCTGGCTTCCCAAATGTCCTGCAACTCTGTGACCCATTTAGTGAGCCACTCACGATCCCCTAATGATTCCTTTTCTGCCTACATCAGCCAGAGCTTGTTCAGTTGCTTTCAACCAAGAACCCTGACAGGTTGAATTAATTTAAACTTTGAACATCAAATGATGCTCTCTAGTAGGTGTTAATGATTGTTGCTAACGATAAACATCTTTCTTATATGCAACCATAACATAGGGAAGGTCCTTTTACTTTGAGGAAAAGAACTAGTGCTTTTGGAATTTTATGTCTATTTCTGTGAATGCTGGGTGGATACATTCTGAAATTTTGCTATGTGAATAACATTTTAATGACATATATTTTTGCTTTTGTACATTTGTGCCACTAGGTAGTTAGAGCAAGAAGATGGTGTTTCCGTCCCTCAAACGGTCCCTTGGAACCATGTTATTTCTACTTTCCTCACTGTTGGCTCTCTTAACTGTGTCCACTCCTTCATGGTGTCAGATCAGTGAAGCATCTCCAAAAGGTAGTAATGGGATGCCATTTCCTTGGAATAAAATACGACTTCCTGAGTATGTCATCCCAGTTCATTATGATCTCCTGATCCATGCAAACCTTACCACGCTGACCTTCTGGGGAACCACGGAAGTAGAAATAACAGCTAGTCAGCCCACCAGCACCATCATCCTGCATAGTCACCACCTGCAGATATCTAGGGCCACCCTCAGGAAAGGAGCTGGAGAGAGGCTATCGGAAGAACCGCTTCAGGTCCTGGAACACCCTCCTCAGGAGCAAATCGCGCTGCTGGCTCCTGAGCCCCTCCTTGTCGGGCTCCTGTACACAGTTGTCATTCACTATGCTGGCAATCTTTCGGAGACTTTCCATGGATTTTACAAAAGCACTTACAGAACCAAGGAAGGGGAACTGAGGTATTTTTTTTTCTCTTTTTCTTTTAAACTGCAAGTGCTGCCCATGCTAAATTCATTATTTCAGATTGATTGTCTTTTAAAATTACCTTTGTTGTTGAACTTTTTCTTCAGTTTTGCTTTTGCATCTTCTTTATAGTGTTAAAAATGACTTTTTCCCTTGCTTTTTGAATCTCATTTTAAAATTCTATTTTAACCAATTTTCTTTCCCCCAGCTCTATCAGAGCAAATATCTATTTGTTTATTTAGTTTGATTTCTGAGACATAATAAACATGTTTAATTTTCCTGACCTATGCATTAGTTTCCTAAGGCTGTTGTAACAAAGTACCACAGTCTGGGTGGCTATAAACAACAAAATGTATTCTCTGTCAGGTCTGCAGGCTAGAAGTCTGAAATCAAGGTGTCAGCAGGCCCGTGCTCCCTCCAGACTCTGGTAGAATCCTTCCTTGTGTCTTCCTAGCATCTAGTGGTGGCCGTGGATCCCTGGCACTCCTTGCCTAGCACCTGCATCGTTCTAGTCTCTCCCTCTGTTAGTGGCATGGCCATTCTCTATGTGGCATGGCCATTCTCTATGTTTCCCTATGTCCCAGTCTCCATCGTCTTATAAGGAAACCGGTCATACCAGAGTAGGACCCAGCATGGTGGCCTCTTCTTCACCCCATGATACCTGTAAAGACCCTATGTCTACATAAGGTCTTGTGCACAGATACTGCAGGTTAGGACTTCAGCATATCCTATTAGCATCCTATTAGAGGAAATACTTCTAGCTCAGTTAAAACTTTTTTAGAGATCTCTACTCACCTTGCTTTGGTTCTGTTTTTAAGGAGGAGACTTATTTGAGAGAGATTTTATGCTAAGTTTTAAAATGGAATTTTATTTGTTAGTAGATTATACTAATTTGTTTTTCAAATTCCATCTTATTCTATCAAGGTAAAAAAGTAAAATTTGTTTCACTCATAGCCTGAACTAACTACTACTTCTATTTCAGTGGAATATTCTCCCAGACTTCTTTCTGGATATGCATATATGTTATTTTATATAAATGGAATTCTTATATTTTCTCTTTTATAAGGAAATTTTTAAACTTAGTATGTTGGGAAGATGTTTTATATAAATGACTATTACTAGGTATCATTTTAATGATTTTATTAAAATACGTAGTTGTACGTTAATATCTTTAATCCCTTGGGAATGGAAATGAAATTATTTCCAGTTTTTCAGTATCAACAACACTTTGATGAACATCTTTGTAAGTTATTTCTTTAGAATAATTGCCTAGAAGTAAAATTGGTAAGCCAAAGAACCTATAAATTTTTTATAAACCTTGTCATTTTTTCTTGCCTCTCACCAATACTGTATATTGGCAGTCTTTTTAGAGCAAAAAAGGCCCCGAAATGATATCTCTTTTTAATTTACATAACTTTGATTAAGGAAGTTGAGCAGCTTTTGATATGTTTGTTAATGATTTGCAGGTTCTTTTATGAATTGCCTGTTTATGATCTTTGACTTTGCCCAAGATTCCCTTGGTTGTTGGCGATTCTTTTTTATTTCATTTCCTTGGTTGTTGGGGATTCTTTTTTATTTTATTTTATTTTACTTTATTTTATTTTTTGAGATGGAGTCTTGCTCTGTCACCCAGGCTGGAGTGCAATGGCGCGAACTTGGCTCACTGCAACCTCCGCCTCCCGGGTTCAAGCGATTCTCCTGCCTCAGCCTCCTGAGTAGCTGGGATTACAGATGCGCACCCCACGCCTGGCTAATTTTTGTATTTTTAGTAGAGATGGGAGTTCACCATGTTGGCCAGGGTGCTCTCGAACTCCTGTCCTCGTGATCCGCCCACCTTGACCTCTCAAAGTGCCGAGGTTACAGGTAGGAGCCACCATTGGGTATTCTTTTACACATTTTTAGGATCTCACTATCTGTTAAGGCTATTAAGTCTTTGTCACATACTTCTTAAATGAATTTTCCCAGTTTTTTACTTTTTTAAAAAACTTTTTTTTGGAGACAGGGTCTGGTTCTGTTGCCCAGGCTGGAGTGCAATGGCGCAATCTCAGGTCACTGAAACTTCTGCCTCATGGGCTCCAACCATCCTCTCACCTCTGCCTCCCGAGTAGCTGGGACTACAGGCATGCACCACCATGCCTGGCTAATTTTTGTAGTTTTGGTAGAGATGGGGTTTTACTGTGTTGCCCAGGTTGGTCTCACACTCCTGGGCTCAAGTAATCCTCCCACCTCAGCCTCCCAAAAATGTGTTAGGACTACAGGCGTGAGCCACCATGACCATGCCCAGTCTAACTTGTCTTTTAACTTAGTTTATGATAGCTTTTGTGATGTAAAATATTTTTTAGTAGTAAAATCCATCAATCTTATAGTAACTTTAGGAATTATAAAGCCAACACCTGTTTTAGAGTTCCTGGTGCTTCATGCTCAATTTTTATTTCACTTGCCTTAATTTTAGGATACTTGCATCAACACAATTTGAACCCACTGCAGCTAGAATGGCCTTTCCCTGCTTTGATGAACCTGCCTTCAAAGCAAGTTTCTCAATCAAAATTAGAAGAGAGCCAAGGCACCTAGCCATCTCCAATATGCCACTGGTGAGTCTGCACTCCTGTGTATTTTCTACCGGAAAATCTACCGATTCTCTGTGACTTGCATTACCCCAGTGACAGTCCACATTGGGTCACCTGTTTTGTTTTATTGCCTGGCAGATCGTTACTAACTTTTCATTTACAACCTGTGCTTTTGTTTCAAGCCACAGTTATATGTAATCAAAGTAAAAATTGCCCCTAAAAATGCAAGATTTCAGTAACAGTGCCATTCCAGGTTATACATGCTGATAGGAGGGAAGTGGTATAAGAAAGTCAGGTCAGGTTTAAATAGTAGTGCCCTTCAAAAAGCACTTTCACCCTCATTTGCTCATATAATCTTTTAAAATGATTTTAAAGGTAATGCTTTGTCAGTTAGGCCATATTTTTAGCATATAGTTATTTTCTATAATTTACATATACTGTATAGTAATATTCACTATATAATTTGTAACTGAATGTACAAAATTGGGCGGACAGAAAAAGAGAATAAAACAAATCTTTTCCGAATGTTATGGTGCTGAAGGTAAGTCATGATAGATAGCTTAGCTTCCCAAGAGAAACCATTATTCTCCAATCTTAATGCAGATGTGGACAGCATTCCCTCTGATTTTTAAAAGTGGCTAGAAGATGACCATGCCAAATGAATAAAACTGTTCAGTAAGTGCCATTATCCTTTGATTCTGGTAGTTTAGAAAAGCATCAGCTGGGCCGTCATTCTGCAGCTGGTATATAACACCTCCTGGAAGCACATCCTTTGTTCAGAGAAACTCACTGGGGATGAGACTCAGGGTAGAGTAGGCTTTGCCTAGAGTTTAGGGATGAACAACTTTGTCCCTGTGCTGACTGGGGAAGCAGTATCGTAGCATGGAGAGATACCAAGAGCCACAGACCGACCTCTAGTATGGTGCTTCTCAACCTTAAAACTCTATACCTACCTGCCTTCATACCATAAGGATGCCTTCCTCAAACAAGATTCGGATCTCCCACCCCCCGCCAGAGGGCTATCCTCTGTGCAAACCACTCTTCTGCAAATTTTCCTACCAGCCAAGAACTTTTGTCCCCACTCCCACTCTTGTATATGAAAAGACAAGAAACAATTATGCTATTTTCCTAATATAAATTTAAGATACAGGATGTGCTTTTTCAGAATATAGTCCTCTCCCCCAGTATTGTGGCATGACTCCCTGGGACAGAAGTGAGTTCTTTAATTGGTGAATCAAAATTCTAGGAGAATAAAGGATCAGGGATGGGAAGGAGACAGGAGAGAGACTGAAGGACCAAACAGGATTAGTGGAGAAATTTGTAGGCTTTCAGAAGAAAGATCTGGAGCTTTGGAAGCTCCAGGAAGATGCTACAGTCTAAATCCATGGATATCCAGGATCCACTTATTGAAGATAGGAAAACTTCTTTTTTTTGAGGATAGGAAAACCTCTAATGCAATGTTGTCCCTTTGGACAGAAACATCTCTCACTAACAGAAATCTAATATGAGTAGCCTGACCTCAGGCTGCAGATATTGAGCTCAGGGGAAAACAATGGGGTCTCAAAAGATCTTTTTGGAGACCAGAAAAACAAAATATATGCCATTGGGACATTGCAGCTTTTGGGCATGGGGCAGAAATTAATCACGGTTAAATTTGAATTAATTTAATCAGGTTATTTTCCTACTAATTAACACAACTCGAGAATGGAAATTTTTGGCCAGGTGTGGTGGCTCATGACTGTAATCCAGCACTTTGGGAGGCTAAGGCAGGTGGATCACCTGAGGTCAGCCTGGCCAACATGGTAAAACCCTGTCTCTACTAAAAATACAAAATTAGTTGGGCTTGGTGGCACATGTCTGTAATCTTAGCTACTCAGGAAGCTGAGGCAGGAGAGTTGCTTGAACTCGGGAGGTGGAGGTTGCCGTGAACCGAGATAACACCATTGCACTCCAGCCTGGGTGATAGAGTGAGACCCCATCTCAATAAAAAAAATTAAAAAAAAAAAAGGAAATTTTTGTTGTGGGTAGGCACAAGCAGAATGCATTTAAAAAGAAAAGATGATTTGGGATCCTTTATGAGTAATCCTAGGCTGGCTAACAGAGTTGGTTTGAATGATCAAATGGTGACCAGAAGTTGGTGGCTGATGGGTGTTAAGAAGGATGAGGGCCAGGTGAGGTGGCTTATGGTTGTAAAGGATTACAACCATACATTACAACACTTTGGGAGGCAGAAGAAGAGGATTTCTTGAGGTCAGGAGTCCAAGACCAGCTGGGGCAACATAGCAAGACCCTATCTCTCAAAACAAACAAACAAAAAAAGATGAGGGCAGAGCAATAGAGGTGAGTATAGGATTACAGGAAAAATGCCCGTGACTGTGGTTTCACCTGGCTAATTCTGGCTGGTTCTTTTTCCAAGGTCTCATCTCCGTGCTTTTTATTGCTGAGGTGTTAGACTTTCTTCTTTAGGGGCAGACCTCTAAGACTGTACCTCCATCAACCATACCCCATCTTTACTCTCTGATTGCACTTAAAAAGGTGATTCCAATGAAGCAAATCTAAGTTTGGAAGAAGCTTTGCAAGAGCATGCCCAGGAATAGGTTACTTTCAATTATACAGAAGAACAGAAGCTCTTTTAGGTACTACAGGGTTATATATTTTCCCCGTTGCGTATATGCTCAACAGCTCGACATTGCATTGCCAGATAATTCTCAAACCTGTATTTAAGGACAAATAATCAGCCATATCTTCGCAAAACTCACAATCTCGGTTTTGCTTCGTCTCATCCGGGTTATCAATCCACATATGCCAAATATTAGTCTGTTTGCAACCATCTGAATTATTAAAAGAAACTGAATATTGATAGTTGCACAACTTTATGATTACATTAAGAGCCACTGAATTGTAAACTTCAAAATGGTAAGTTTTGTGGTATATGAATTATATCTCAATAAAAAAGAAATTGAGTAGAACTGTTGGACCTTAATATCTAAATTATAATTAGATATCAGAAAGATAACTTTTAAAGTAATTATAGAAGCGTCATTAGACAGGGTCTGCCTCTGTCACCCAGGCAGGAGTACAGTGGCTCAATCTTGGCTCACTGCAACCTCCACCTCCCAGGCTTAAGGCATCCTCCCACCTCAGCCTCCCCAGTAGCTGTGACTACAGGCACGCACCACCAGCAGGGCTAATTTTTGTATTTTTTTTTTGTAGAGATAAGGTTTCATCATGTTGCTCAGGCTGGTGGCAAACTTCTGAGCTCAAGCAATCTGCCTACCTCGGACTCCCCAAGTGCTGGGATTGATATACTTTTAATATTATGTCTGATAATTAGGAAATTTCTCAAGTTCAGTGTATTACATAATTGGATTACTTGATAATTTGAATTATTCTGATTTTAGGTGAAATCTGTGACTGTTGCTGAAGGACTCATAGAAGACCATTTTGATGTCACTGTGAAGATGAGCACCTATCTGGTGGCCTTCATTATTTCAGATTTTGAGTCTGTCAGCAAGATAACCAAGAGTGGAGTCAAGGTGAGTCTGTGATTGTCACATATGGTGACCAACTTGTTCTGGTTTGCCTGGAACTGGTTTTTTGTTTTTTTTTTTTTTTGAGACAGAGTCTCACTCTGTGGCCCAGGCTGGAGTGCAGTGGCTGGATCTCAGCTCACTGCAAGCTCTGCCTCCTGGGTTTACGCCATTCTCCTGCCTCAGCCTCCGAGTAGCTGGGAATACAGGCACCCGCCACCACGCCCAGCTAGTTTTTTGTTTTTTAGTAGAGACGGGGTTTCACCACGTTAGCCAGGATGGTCTTGATCTCCTGACCTCGTGATCCGCCTGTCTCGGCCTCCCAAAGTGCTGGGATTACAGACTTGAGCCACCGCGCCCGGCCTGGAACTGGTTTTAAAACTGGAAGTCTGGCTGAGCACAGTGGTTTGTGCCTGTAAACCCAACATAAACCCAACAATTTGGGAGGCTGACATGGAAGAATCACTTGAGGCCAGAGGTTTGAGACCAGCCCGGACAACACAGTGAGAACCTGTCTCTGTAAAAAATAAAATAATTGGCCAGGCATGGTTCCTTGTGCCTGCTACTAGTCTTAGCTACTAGGGAGGCTGAGGTGGGAGGATCCCTTGAGCCCAGGAGTTTGAGGCTTCAATGAGGTATGATTGTGCACTCCAGCCTGGGCAACAGAGCAAAACCATGTCTCTAAACAAACAAACAAAGACAAAACCAAATAACGAAATCCTGGAAGTCCTGCATCCTGGGAACCTCCTCAATCTCAGGCAAACCAGGATGTTTGGCTAACCTGTTGTCATGGATGCTCGTTTGTATAGTGAGGTTCTAATAACAACAACGTGGAGAGAGTGTGGCCTGGCCTGAGTCGTGATCCTGGCTTTACCGCAGTCACTTCACTGACTCTCTGACCTTGGCCCTATTCTCTCTGGAACTTAGTATTTACTTCTTTGGAAGGTATAACTTGGATTAGATCCTGCAATGGACTATAAGGTTGTTTCTGGTTACGGCTTTCTGCAGTTTGGAAGTAAATGTTACTATCTGGCAGGGGATTTCTGGCTATAGTAAGGAAGATAGAGCAACCTGCTTGGAATGGCCAGAGGTTTTGGGCCAGGTAACACTGGAATGCTGGAGAGAAAAATCTTGTTTCAAGGCACACTTGTTCCTCATTTGGGTACCATTGCATAGTGGTCAACCAATACAACCATGTGCCATAGCTCGGAATGCAAGCTGGTTTTTCTGAGGGGAGGAAGGGATGCTTTGTTTGAAGATACCTTATGTATTTGTGCTGGTTTTTACTGAGGTCTGAGTAGATGGAGGTTCCCTGCTGAATTGCTTTGGGTTCCTCTAGTGCTGAGATTTCTTATTCTTGTGGAGGTATCTTTACTTACCTGGGGATTTGAAGGTGACGCTTGAGACTCGGACGAAGGGAACATTCTTAATTCAGCAGTGAAACTAATCAGCAAAAACACCTGCCCCTTAGTTTTGCCACTTATCTGAATCTCTTAGAAATGATTATTTTAATAATGTCTAATCTATACTATTATTTTTCTTTCATTTCTGTAAATACATTAAGCATACATATTATATATCTGTGTCTGGTAATTGTTTTATCTGAAATCTTTGTGTATTTGATTTTGTGGTTTGTTTTTTCTGCTGGCTCTTGCTTATGGTATCTTGTTTCCTTGCTTGTATTATGAATTATGTTTGTGAGCTTATGTTACCTGAGTCTAAAGTGGATTATTCCAGAGAGAAATTGTGTTTGCTCTTGCAGAGTGTCTGGAAGTACTTACTGGTCCAGGGATCACTTTACTTGTAGTTTCCTTGACAAAGGGTAGTTATTTCTAGTTTACCTTTACATTAAAGGCCTGGCCTTTGGGTACTAGCTTTACGTAGGGGTTGTATGTCCTGTTAGACTTTCTACTTTGGGCAGGCCCTGGACTTGGTCTTTTAACTCCTGAGTCCTTCAATGCCATAAGAACCAAAGCTCAAGTCCAGCTGTGTTGGGCTACTGCCATCAGGGCTAAAGCTGGCTGCGGTGCTCTGCTGACATTAGAGGGTCCAGCTGTCATTTTACTTTTGCCTCTAAATCTTGCTTTCTCATTTGCCATCTTATAAACACATTTAAGAAGACTTTATATATGTTATCCAGCATTTGTTGTTGTTTTCAGAAGGGGGATTAATCAGGAACAGTCAGTATTAATGCAAGAAATGGAATTCCCAATTATTTTCCTTAATATTGGCAACCATATCCCACAATATGAGGACATTAATGTCAGTCTTCTACACAATGTGGAGAGAAGCCACTTAAGATATTTGAATTCCTTTCTTGTGCCTTCCACTTTAGGTTTCTGTATACGCTGTGCCAGACAAGATAAATCAAGCAGATTATGCACTGGATGCTGCGGTGACTCTTCTAGATTTTTATGAGGATTATTTCAACATACCGTATCCCCTACCCAAACAAGGTAGAGATTTTGTACAGATACTACACATGACGTCATGATGTTTGATGAACACAGTCATAGATTTGTCATTTTAATTGGCGTATCCCTGTGGTTACCTCAGCAGCCCCTCAAGCCACAAAAACCCCAGCAAGTGACAAACCTGCAGTTGATCTTTCTGAGCATCTTCTCACCCTTGATGTGTACAGTAACTTCTAGTGATAGTGAAGAAGGCAGATCTTCATAGAGTTCCTGAGGCACATGGCATGGGGACTCTTCTGCCTTCTGATTTTATTAGTGGGCAGACAGCACAGGGAAGAGGCTACATTTTTCCTTACTGGCATCTGCTTGGCAGGAACACAGAGGATGCTCAACAAACTGTTTTGAATGAATAAATGTATATAGTGTAAGACAATCTGCATTTTCTTTCTTCCATGAGCCCTTAAAACTATTGTATGTTTGATTTTTTAGGTATATGTGGGTCTTGGGCGTTCAAAATAGAGTGGATTATTTTAATTGTTAAGTTTTTCAATTTCCAATCTCCTCATCAGAAGGTTAGAAATGGAGTCAAGAGGCCTGAAGAGGCCGGGCACGGTGGCTCATGTCTTGTAATCTCAGCACTTTGGCTCATGTCTTGTAATGTCAGCACCTGGGGAGGCCTGGCAGGTGGATTACTTGAGCCCAGGAGTTTGAGACCAGCCTGGGCAACATGGTAAAACCCTGTTTCCACAAGAAATATAAAAATATTAGCTGAGTGTGGAGGTGCACTCCTGTAGTCTCAGCTACTTGGGAGGCTGAGTGGGAGGATCACCTGAGCTTGGGAGGTTGAGGCTGCAGTGAGGTGTAATTATGTCACCGCAAATGCACTCCAGTATGGGTGATAGAGTGAGAGCCTGTTTCCAAAAAAAAAAGGCCTAGGATGCAAGTCTGACTTTGCCACATTTATAGCAAAGTGACACTGAGTCACTAAGCTGCTTTTTCTCCATCGTGAAAGATTCTTCAGTCTAGAGCTCCATGATTATGCACGGTTAACTGGTTCAAATACCTATCCGTTCTGAAGATTAGTGTGTTTGGGGGAATGTGTAGCTTTGAGACTGGTAATGTATTCTATTACTTCCTTCCCAAGATCTTGCTGCTATTCCCGACTTTCAATCTGGTGCTATGGAAAACTGGGGACTAACAACATACAGAGAATCTGCTCTATTGTTTGATGCGGAAAAGTCTTCTGCATCAAGTAAGCTTGGCATCACAATGATTGTGGCCCATGAACTGGCCCACCAGGTATAAGCTCGCTCACACTTTTAAAAAAGTATGAACTACGATTATATTGCTTTTATGGGACATATAAGGCTATTTATATATTATAATTTTTACTCTGTCTTTTTTTTTCATAAGAAAAACTGTTTCTCCAAAGCATTAGTTTTTATGTCTTGTAATACATGTTGAAAGTTTTTTTATTTTTACCTTGATTAAATATTGGTCCTGTGAATGTACGTTAACATTCATAAACTTATATTAGACATCTAAAATATACTTCTTTCTGAATGTCTTTGTTTATGGCTGCCAGTCTAGATCATAGGTATCCAGTCTCCATGGAAATGTGTGAATAAACTGAGACATGTTGTGTTTTTAGTGGTTTGGGAACCTGGTCACTATGGAATGGTGGAATGATCTTTGGCTAAATGAGGGATTTGCCAAATTTATGGAGTTTGTGTCTGTCAGTGTGACCCATCCTGAACTGAAAGTTGTAAGTAATTATTTATCCTTTACATTTTAGGTTAATTTTGTTGTTTTGTTCAATATTGCTGGAAAATATTTACTAATCTTTGATTATAGAACTTACAAAAAGATTTCATTGATAACTTCCTTGACAGTTTAGATATGAATCGTGTTGCAGAAATGCTAGTGAACTTTCAAGATATATCACAAAGACTTATTTACAAACTCAGTTGTGAATCTATGATTGTTTGTGAATTGTCCAATTTTATCTTTCCTAATATCAAAGAAATAGAAATAATGGCAACCTAAATGTTCCATTTCATTTTCCCAACCTTCAGGTTGCTCATTGCAGAATTATTAGGTATAGATTGCTGATACCTCAATAGGACCCTACTTGCCAGATCAAATGAGTTATACTTAAGGTAACTGCAAATTTGATTATATAACAACCTAGGCTTCTGGGTCACAAATTTATTGCTTTGGAACTGCTGTAGGGTTTAATTTTTAAATCACCATGTTTAACTTAAGAAAATCACATATAGCAAAATTAAACTTATGTAAAATTTTTTTATCCTACTCCAATGATGCTATTATTTGTAAATATTTATTCCTATTTTCATCTGCCACATACATTATTTAAAATATACATTTGTGAATATTTATTACTGCCTATTTTGATCTGCCTGTGTACATAATTAGAAAGTACATATCAATATTGCATTATAATGGATCATAAATATTTTCTTATGTTTCTACATTATCTATAGTAATAAAAATGATTATGGATACGTATTATCCTATTGAGCTAATGTGCTCTAATAAAGCTAGTTAAGGTTCTCCATTTCTTTTTGTTACATGTTTTTAAAGGTAAATATCTTTGCTCTAAAACAGTACAGACAATGATTGGAAATGTTGAAATTACTATGCAGTTTAGTTTCTTGTTTTGTTGCTGTTTGGCTATAGGCATAATCGTTTCGTTTTTAGATTAATATGAATTTTTCTTTATTCTAAAGTATTTAAGATGAACAAAATCTATAATGTTTACCTAAAATCATTGTTTCTTGGGTGGTTTTTAGACTATATTAATTCTATTTTGTTTCATAAATATTAGGAAATATGGAATAAGTTGCCCCCAAAATGTGAAGTATGGACTTCTTGCCTCAGATAAAACGTCCCACCTTTGATATTTTTTATCTAAATGTAAATCATAGGTGATGTTTTCTTTTTTCTGTCTCAATAGGAAGATTATTTCTTTGGCAAATGTTTTGATGCAATGGAGGTAGATGCTTTAAATTCCTCACACCCTGTGTCTACACCTGTGGAGAATCCTGCTCAGATCCGGGAGATGTTTGATGATGTTTCTTATGATAAGGTACATGTAGATTGAGTAAAAGGATACAGTTTGGATACTAAAGTTATACATACTGGGGTGGAGAAGTTATAGGGAAGGTTGTGGGGTTAAACCCACATTGAATGCCTTCTCTCTTGACACGGGTGGCTGGAGTTAACTCTTTTAGGCCTAACTTGCAGTTTGGCTCATAACCCTAAAGACTATTTTATGGGAAATTCTTCATATATTCTTTCTTGGGTTGAAAATTCATGGCTTACAGAAACTCTGCTTTTATTTATCATTCAACAAATAGGTATTGATTGAGCATCAACTTTGTACTAGACAAAAATTCCTGCCCTCCTGTAGCTTACTTTTCAAGGCCTTCAGCAATGGTTAATATTGTTGAGATGCAAATAATTGTCTTGCACAGTGTGTTTAGTAATAAAGTTGGGAATTGTTGCCAACAGTTTAATGATTGGGAGATTTTATGTAAAATCCAAATTTCTAGCTTCTCTTGGGGAAGAAAAAGGAGGATTTGGCCATGGTATTTCCTTTGCAGCATAAGCTGGAGCTAAGTTGTTGTTCTCTCTTTGTAAGATCAAGGCTCTGCTTTTCCACTTCCCCTACCATTCCCAACTGTTCTGTTGTCTTCTCACCGAGGCTGAGAATGTGTTGCCAGTTACCATTGTGCTTGGCTGTTGTTTTACTGGTAGCAAACAGAAAAGTCTTTCTGCTTGCATGTTTCCATTGAAAGTACAGGGGAAAAAGAATGTAAAAGAGCGTTCTTCTTATCCTTGGACTATTTCCTTTATTTATATGCCCTGTCATATGCCACTGGAGGCATTAGAGTTTGTGACTCGCCATCTGTGGTAATGGGAGTGGAGGGGAAAAGAGCCCTTTACCCAGGAATACAGGGTGTCTGGGAAGACTCTTGTTCCCTTTCTCCAGCTCCATCAGCCCTCCATGCTCAAGGCTGCCCGGGCTCCCTGGACATACCCACTTTTCCTTCCCTGGCGTCTACCTCTGCTTCCATCTCTAATGCTCCACCCCTTGTTGTACCGGCCTCTCCCTAGTCCTGCCCTGGAGTGGCAGTGGGAGAGCCAGGTAGTAGCTGAAGGTCCAATGTTTAATCTGTACCATTATCCACTCACATGTGAACAAAAGGAGTTGGCAGATGATGCCAATTTGCCCCATGAGGAGGTCTGGCTACTGATAGAAAATAAGGGCCCCAGTGGGCTCACAGCATAAACAATCACATTAGACAAATCCCCTGCCTAAACAGGCCCAGGTTTAACCTGCTTATGCTGTTTCACAAATTGCCAGACATTAACAATGTTACTGCAGTTGCATTTTCAAAGAAATGTGTTTTATTGCAAAAGAATATGTGATTTCAGATGAGATTGCAACCAAACTATAGATAACAATTATTTCTATTATCTTTTCAGGGAGCTTGTATTCTGAATATGCTAAGGGAGTATCTTAGTGCTGATGCATTTAAAAGTGGTATTGTACAGTATCTCCAGAAGCATAGCTATAAAAATACAAAAAACGAGGACCTGTGGCATAGTATGGCAAGTGTGAGTATGTTTTTGAATATCTCTGCGTTTGGGATTGACAGGCTTATCATCTTGTTTTGTTTCCCCAGAATCATCTTAATCCCTCTGAGGAGAATAATTGTTTTCTATAGAAATAAGAGTGATGTGTTTAGTTTTGGTTTTTAGATTTGCCCTACAGACGGTGTAAAAGGGATGGATGGCTTTTGCTCTAGAAGTCAACATACATCTTCATTCTCAGTAAGTTTCTGTATCTGTACATGTTCCCCCAAGCACATTCTTTTACTACATATTCTTTGAAAGATAGCTCTGTGCCAAACTTTCTGAGGTCCTTGATTATATCACCCTCATTCCAGATAAGACTGCATTTAAACTATACAAGACTCATAATCTTTTTCAATTTTTCTTAAAATGTGTCTATACACAAGGGTTGCAGAGCTTTCCTTGGTAATGCTTCTCACTGATACTAATTTCTTCAGCTTCACTTTGTAAAGCAGTGAATTTATGACATTTCTATAGCAGATTATGGCTGCATTGTAGCAGTCAAAAGGATATGTCAGTCATTTCCAGAGCTCTGCATTTGTACAAAGACAATGGCACTGAGCATTCTTGAACACTTGCCATGAATCAGGCACTTGTTAAGCACTTATATGTATTATCTCCTTTACTCTTCGTAATAAACCTGTGAGCCGGGTACTATTACTATCCCTATTTTTAAAGTTGAGAACATGAAATACAAAGACATTTGACTGGTAAATTGCAGAGAAGATATCTGAATTTAGATCTAACTCATGTTTTTAACTGCTAAGCTATAAAATATTCATAACATCTAGTCACAAAACAGCCTGAGTCTCTGTTCATCTGGATTTGTGGGATGTTTTCAGAGGAAGCTGAGGGTGAGTCTGGAGATTCACCAGAATTTTGTCTTTCTTTTTTCTTTTTATATTTTTTACTTTCTTGGCCTTTTTTGTTCCTAGAGATTGCTTTATTCAGTAGTTTCTAGATTTGTCCTGTGGCACATGTTATCTTTTTAGTGATACTTTTTTTTTTTTTTTTTTGAGACAGAGTCTCAGTCTGTCGCCCAGGCTGGAGTGCAGTGGTGCGAAGCCTCTGCCTCCCCAGTTCCAGCGATTCTCTTGCCTCAGCTTCCCAGGTAGCTGGAATTATAGGCATGCGCCACTACACCTAGTTAATTTTTGTATTCTTAGTAGAGACTGGGTTTCGCCTTGTTTGCCAGACTGGTCTTGGTCTCCTGACCTCTGGTGACCCACCCACCTCAGACTCCCAAAGTGCTAGGATTACAGGCATGAGCCATCACACCCAGTCTTTACTACCTTTTAAATAATTTCTTAAAAGCTTTTTTAGTATCAAAAACCAGCTCCTTTTGAGTTCCCACTATTTGTTGAGTGTGAGTCATCTCCGTATCCTCACTTTCGAAACACAGGCTCTTGACTGAACATTGTTTCCACCTTGCTTGTCTGAAACCAGCATAGTTATGTAGGTATTGAAAACCTGGCACTTTCTTTCCCTTCTCCTCCTTCATTCATTCACATGCCTGCTTTGTGCCCAGTGTTATTGCCAGCCCCAAAGTGTGCCCGGCAGAACTAGGTATGCTCCCTGTCCTTTAGACACGTATGTGTAGTGGAGGAAAATGGCACGCAAACACTTGGTGCTTTAATGGAGGTGTGATGGCTGGGAACATCACATTGAGAAAGGGATCAGAAAACACTCCAAAGAGGGGAGGTTGGCAACTGGTAGTGACTGAGCACAAGCTGGTGTTCTGTCTTTTCTTAGAGCTGGGTTAAGTGGGTGATGTGTCTGCTTTTTTGTGTGCACACCAGCATTGGCATCAGGAAGGGCTGGATGTGAAAACCATGATGAACACTTGGACACTGCAGAAGGGTTTTCCCCTGATAACCATCACAGTGAGGGGAAGGAATGTACACATGAAGCAAGAGCATTACATGAAGGGCTCTGAAGGCGCCCCGGACACTGGGTAATGCTCATAGAGTAAAATTTGTTTTGTTGTCTAGATAACATCTGCCTTGGAGGATGGAACCTTGTTTTTGAAATAATGCCCTTACCGCTATTGCTAAAATATTTCAACTGCATCTGTGTATCCTATGAAGTTGACTTATACTCCCTGCCCCCATCTTCCCAAAAGGATTAAGGAGGCTTTAAACCTTGGTTTTTCTCAGTAAAGTTGATGATATAATTACTTTAACATTCTCATATTTTGTAATTTGATATGATGGTAATTTCTGGTTACTGACTTGAAATCAGCTCCAACCTAAGCAACTGCTACTAGATTACAATAGCGCCTAGCATTTGGTTGGAGCTGAGGACAAAAAAATTTAGGTGATTTCTGAGAATTATGAGAGACTCAGTTGTCTTCTTCTGAGTTAGATTTGTTCGTCAGCTTAATGCTGTAGAAGAGTATTATTAGAAACAAGATGCTGCAACTTGATTGACCCTGGATGGATACCATTAAAAAATTCTTTTATCTTGAAACAATTTCAGACATATGGAGAAGTTACAAGAATAGCACAACAAATTCCTATATATCCTTTACCTAGATACATGTTAACTCTTTATTCCTTTACTTTCTTCTGTGTGTGTGTGGATATATATATATATACACACACACACACACATGTTTGTGTGGATATATATATATGTATGTGTATGTGTGTGTGTGTACACCTCCCTCCCCCATCTTCCCAAAAGGATTAAGGAGGCTTTAAATCTTGATTAATCGATATCCATCTGTCTACATATGCATCTGTCTACATAGACACCTATATACATATCTCTGTATGTATATACTTGGCATGTGTTTTTCTGAACTGTTTGACAGTAAGTTGGTGACATGATTCCCCTTCAAACCTAAATGCTTCAGCATAGTATTTTCTAAAAAACAAGAACACTTATGGCCAGTCACGGTGGCTCACGCTTGTAATCCCAGCACTTTGGGAAGCCGAGGCAGGAGGATCATGTGAGGTCAGGAGTTCGAGACCAGCCTGGCCAACATGGTGAAATGCCGTCTCTACTAAAAATACAAAAATTAGTCGGGCGTGGTGGTGGGTGCCTGTAGGCCCAGCTACTCAGGAGGATGAGGCAGGAGAATTGCTTGAACCCAGGAGGTGGAGGTTGCAGTGAGCCGAGATCCCACCACTGCACTCCAGCCTGGACGACAGAGCAAAACTCCATCTCCAAACAAACAAACAAACAGACAAACAAACAAAAACAAGAACATTCACTTATATAACCATAGCCACAGTACAATTATCCAAATTGGGAAATAAACTTGATACAATACTGTTACCTATAAATCCCATTCAACTTTTTCCAGTTGTCCTAAAAATATCTTTAGAGCAAAATAGAAAATAAATTCTGACCTAAGATTTAATACAGGACCACATATTTTATTTAGTTGTTGCATCCTTTTGGTCTCCATGTTTTTCTGAAACAACTTTTTAGTCTTTTTTGGGCTTCTTGATATTGACATTTTTGAAGAGTGCAGGTCAGTTATTTTATAGAATGTCTTTCAGGTTGGATTTTCTGCTGTTTCTCCATGATCAGATTCAGTTTATGTATCATTGACAGGAATCCCAAGGAGGTGATGTTGTGTCCTTCCTAGTATACGATTCAGGAGGCACATGACTCCTGAAGTTAGGCCTCTGAGATACAATCAGCCAATCACTGTAAAAAGGCTTTCAGGGTTCACTTGAGTCCAAATTCTTAGCTCTACTCAAGGAGTCCAAGAAAAAGAAATAGTGCCTGAGCTGACACTCCCTGCAAAGTTGGAAAACAGACTGGGGATGTTTTGAGAGCTTGGCTGTAGCAGTTTGGGTACTATCTTGTTCTAACTAACCAGTGCCTGGCACATGATAGGTGATTTAATAACTGCTTGTTGAATTGAATCAACAAATGAACAATCCATCTCTCCTTTCTTTTAGGTACCTGTGGCATGTTCCATTGACGTTCATCACCAGCAAATCAGACATGGTCCATCGATTTTTGCTAAAAACAAAAACAGGTAATTTATTTTGGAAACAACCAGTTTAATTCAAGGAGGAACGTGAAAATGTGTAGGGTTAAAATGCTGTTTCTTTTGCTGTTTATCTCGGTTAAAGCAAAAGGGATCAGATTGAAAATACTTTCTGGTTTCAAAGAAGAATGGCCAGTATCTTGCCAGATAGAGATTATAGTTGAATTAGATAATGCTAAAAAGGAGGGATTACCAGTGAACATTCCCTATTACTTTGTTAACATTACTGTTTTATATCATATGTATGGCCAGATACGTAGTTGCATTCTTTTCATAGATCTATAAATCTCACAAAATTGATGTCTAAAGCTAGTGTTAGCTATTGTCTATTGAGTTGCTGTTTTCTGGTTTCTGAAAGAAATAAGTGATGATTTCAGATTGTTCAGTATTAAACTCTTCTCTAATTTCCTTGCCCAGTCTCTGATCAGAAAAGCTTTCATCAGGCAAGGGAGCAAATGGAGCTTTGATTTATTTTATTTACTCTAGATGTGCTCATCCTCCCAGAAGAGGTGGAATGGATCAAATTTAATGTGGGCATGAATGGCTATTACATTGTGCATTACGAGGATGATGGATGGGACTCTTTGACTGGCCTTTTAAAAAGAACACACACAGCAGTCAGCAGTAACGATCGGGCGAGTCTCATTAACAATGCATTTCAGCTCGTCAGGTAATACACGCTGCACAAAGTCTTGGTTTATTTCTGAAAGCAGCTGTTATTGTTCAAATTCTTGATTTCTAAAGACAAAAATGATTGATTGACAACAAGAAGTTGAAAGGTGTTTTCCTCCAAGTTCTTCTAACAACCCAAGATTGCTTTTAGCCTTATAATTAACCTCCTGTCTGTGACTACTAAGGCACTTGAAGGAAGGAATCTGTATCTTAATCTTTCTCATTAACAGTTTAGATCATACTGAGGCAGAAGTGTAGATAACCAGGAGATCAACATCCTGGCGAAACTCCTTGCCTTGTCCCTGCGGTGGCGTGGTCCCTCAGCTTCCTCTGGCCCTGCTATACCGGATCAAGTTTCTTCCATCACTGGGTCTTTAACAGCCTTGAAGGCTTTTTAGAAGACTAAGTGACACAGGCCCAAGTTGTTTGCATTACATTTCTTGGATTAAAGAAGGGATTTTTGTTTTCTTTCCTAAACCAGATACCTGAACTTTGCAGTATCTTTATGGAATATAGCTCATAAAATGTAGCCCAACCAAATGATCTCTGAGTGTGTGAGGACAGAATTAACACTACCCCCCCGCCTTTTTTTTAACCCCCATGACAACGGTTTTTAAGGAAATGCTCTCAAAGCCTAAAACTCAAAACTTCTTCAACATGTAGGCAGATCTAAAGTCCTAAGAGGAAGCATGCAGGTGGGAAGGATTCTCTCTGTTTCTCCTCATACCTATATCCTTCTGGCCTAAATTTTGAGTGCCTTCTGGTTCTTTTCACCACCGTACTGGGCCTCCTGAAGTGAGAAAAAGCAATGGGGGAGAAAGTTAAGGGTTGCTTACCTAGCTGTTTCTTTCTGCCTAAAAAATTCCCCTCTGTAGAATATTTCTGCTTGAGCCGTAGAGGGCTTTTTCTTTTTTCTTTTTTAAACTTACATAATATATACCCTACCACTGAGGTTTTTAACACTAACCCTCTGTAATGAAGGGTTTCTAAGGATATGCAGTGTCTTTTGAAATGGAGAAGAAAATGTGTTTCCTCCAGGGACTCATAGATTTGACCAGATGATAGTCTGACCAGGCTTTCTAAAGGGTCTTTGATGGAAATCCCTTGCTTACTCTAGAAGTTCAGCACACAATCCCGTGTTTCACAGGGACAGATGCTGATGTGATTCCATTCCGGCTTATCCACATGTTAGCCTTGGATGTTACTATGTTTGAGAAACTTCCTCCCTAGTGTAAACATGCCAGATGTTGTGTTACATGTGATAGAAAAGAGACTTATATAGTAGTTATCTATCTATTTATTTATTTTTTTGGAAATGGAGTCTCTGTCTCCCAGGCTGGAGTGCAGTGGTACCATCTCAGCTCACCGCCTCTGCCTCCCAGGTTCAAGCAATTCTTCTGCCTCAGCCTCCCAAGTACCAAGTACCTGAGATAACAGGCACATGCCACTATGCCTGACTGTTTTATGTATTTCTAGTAGAGACACGGTTTCACCATGTTGGCCAAGCTGGTCTCGAACTCCCAACCTCAGGTGATTCACCCGCCTTGGCCTCCTAAAGTGCTGGGATTATAGGCATGAGCCACCGTGCCTGGCCGTAGTTATCTATTTATAAGTAGTTATCCATTTATATCTGATTGCTTGTTTTGCTAGAAGACTAAAATATATTTTGAAGCAAAATGTTGACTTCCTGGATTTACTTTTAAACCACTAACCACAGTGTCTCTTGTTCAGCATTGGGAAGCTGTCCATTGAAAAGGCCTTGGATTTATCCCTGTACTTGAAACATGAAACTGAAATTATGCCTGTATTTCAAGGTTTGAATGAGCTGATTCCTATGTATAAGTTAATGGAGAAAAGAGATATGAATGAAGTGGAAACTCAATTCAAGGTAAAAGCCTAAAATAAAATAGTTATGTAATTATTATTTCTTTTGTGTTAAAAAGAATGTTAATTGTGTATGTGTATGTTTGTGTGTATCTTTATATACATATTAAGGAAAAGCAAATAAATATTAATTCAGTATTTAGATAGATTAGCAAAAATTTTGGTTTTATTTGGCACTAAAAATAGGAATGGCATTCTCAGACTCTGCTTAATTTGCATGGATTTGTTTTTTCCTTCCTTTCACAAACCTTTTATTTCATTTTCCTTTCCTACTATGATGGCTGACATTCAGATTTTCTGGGACTCTTCATGGTACTTGAGGAAGAGGCACAAAATTGTTATTCTTGGCAAAATGTCATGAAGTCTTGTTGCATAATTTGCCCTCAAAATTTAGTCATATAAACTCTGAGTTTGTTTTAAAAGTGGCAATTCATCCTGACTTTAAGTAGATAGGATATCTTATAAAAGTTTGTTATGAAAATATGAAAGTCATTCATCATTATTTATTGGTTTTGACCCTTTTATAATTAAATATAAACAGTGCTGCATGATTTATACAGTAAAAGTTAGATTATGCTTTAAAAATTAGCCCCCATCATCTGAGACCATAATGGATTATATTAACATGAAATGACCTGTGACAATACTAGTCCCTGTTCCCCTGTGCAATGCCCTCAGGCCTTCCTCATCAGGCTACTAAGGGACCTCATTGATAAGCAGACGTGGACAGACGAAGGCTCGGTCTCAGAGCGAATGCTGCGGAGTCAGCTACTCCTCCTCGCCTGTGTGCGCAAGTATCAGCCATGCGTACAGAGGGCAGAAGGCTATTTCAGGAAGTGGAAGGAATCCAATGGAAACTTGAGGTCAGTCCTTACTGAATAACCAATTTGTTGATGTGAAGGGTATCTTTTCTGTTTTCCATCATTGGTACTAAACATTAGGGAAAACAAAAAGTATAAGTGTCTCCCCTGCTGCCCTGTTTTGGAAAATAAATTACTTTTTAAGATTTATCTATGCATCTCTCAACTTTAAGAAATGCTAGGAGGGAACTTCTGTGCATAAAAGTCAAATATCTGGGGAGTTAGGATGGTATTGGAGTAATTCCCATTTTTGTATAGGCAATGCAAAATCGTTTTAAACTGTGACAGCCATGCCATAGAGAAACACAGGCATTGTATTTTATAGTAGCTTCTTTGGGCTTCTAAAGTCCCTGACAGGGATGCATAGTAATTGCTGATGCCGTCTAAGCAAGGTAGGATTTTACCATATCTGGAAATCCCTATTCAGCTACATTTCAGTCCTTTTACATTTGGAGCTTAAACCCCACCCAGGAAACATTTATGCCAACAATCTACATGCTTCAGCTTAAAGAAATCCAAACAGTGGTCCTACTGCAGTCCTGACTTGTGATCATGGTGTACATTTTGAATATAGTTTGAATTTCTTTGTCTTGAAAGGTGATCCCCTATGGAGTCACCCAGCATCATTAAAGTATTTAAATATGTAGGTATTTATTAAAATGGCATTTCACATTACATTTTTGAGAGGGCTACTTAAAACCTAATTTTAGATAGTTTTCTCTTGCCTTTTTTTTACAAAGTGTAACTGAAGGAAATCGGTAGTTTTTGTTTCTATTTTCAGTTATGCTTCTCTGATCATGGGGACAGTTTAGCAGTTCATAATTGGTCACCATTAGGCCTATAAACATACTTACTGCATCTCAGATTCTCATCTTGTGTTCCTTTCTATAGCCTGCCTATCGATGTGACCTTGGCAGTGTTTGCTGTGGGGGCCCAGAGCACAGAAGGCTGGGATTTTCTTTATAGTAAATATCAGTCTTCTTTGTCCAGTACTGAGAAAGAACAAATTGAATTTGCCCTCTGCACAACCCAAAATAAGGAAAAGCTTCAATGGTGAGTCAGTCATTCATTCATGTTCATGTGGCCAAGGGAAATTAGATTAAATTAGATCATTCTGGCATCTATTTTTGTTTTCTTGGCCAGGAATTGTCTATTCTGCTGGGAACATACTGCAAGTCAGCATACATCTAATGAGAAAGGCAAATAATTAGGGAGAACCAGGTGTCAGGAAAAATATTTAAAGGCATATATATTTGTGTATCTTTAAAAAGACAACATATTTAAAATATTTACTAGAGCTACTCTTCCTTAACTATTCTTTTGAGCAAATGAGAGGGTATATGAGAATACTATATAAATGTTAGTTTTTATTATATAGCTATAGTGGGTTTATCAGGATTCTGATTACCCATTTATCTTTTTAACCTTTGTTATTGGCAGACTTTTTTTTTCTTTTACAAGTAATTTTATTGCAGTGATTCATAACTGTTTCACCACCTATTCATTGCTAACATTTCTTTTCTTAATCCTTTCAGGCTACTAGATGAAAGCTTTAAGGGAGATAAAATAAAAACTCAGGAGTTTCCAGGAATTCTTGTACTCATCGGCAGGAACCCAGTAGGATACCCACTGGCCTGGAAATTTCTGAGGAAAAACTGGAACAAACTTGTACAGAAGTAAGTGGTGCCAAAAATTGTGCTGTGACTGGATAAGTTCATAACCTTACTGTGTTTCAGCCTTGTTGTTTGTGGAAGAACAGTAACAGTCTAAAGGTACTTTTTTATTGAAGATAGGCAGTAGAAGTACTTAAAGTATTTGTAGAAAATATAAAACTGGAATTCAGTGCTAATTTGTGAATATGTACAGGGGTGTTTTCCATTCCATCTGGCATAACCCCTTCCTGAGCCCATGGACTGATGAAGCCTTCCTCCTCAGAGTTCAGCCCAGGCCTTCCACGAGCACAGATTGCTTGTTTGCATCTGTCATTGTCTAACTCTTACAGCACTTCCTGCCTCTGTCATGTTCTGTTGGATACTTAACTTTTTATTAAGCTGTTGGTGTGTATTATTCTTTAGAGCTACATCTTAACACATTGGATAGACATCATATTTTGCACTTTCACACCCATCAGTTTTTAGTTAAAAGGTATTATATATAGGAGGCCCTTAAAATATAAGTTAAATGAATATTTCACAACCCGTTTTTGAATATTTCCCTCTCTAGGTTTGAACTTGGCTCACATTCCATAGCCCACATGGTAATGGGTACAACAAATCAATTCTCCACAAGAACATGGCTTGAAGAGGTAATATATATATATATCTTTTTAATCATAAATGAAAATTAGCTAATTAATATGGGGTAGACAAAATACTTTGAGGGTGTGGTGAGTTAGAAATGGATTTTGTGATTTAGAAGTTATTTTTGGACGGTATGGTACTGACAGCAGCATAAATCAGTGGCAATTAAACTAGTGAAAACTGTGCCTCTTCTCAGACATGTTAAGAGGTCTTAGCTCTGCCATTTAAAACCTTAGGACTTGAAGAAAAATTACTTGAGACAATTAGTCCCTGTTTAAGGATGTTAAAAGTGGGCATTGAGGTATAAATGACTGAAGTGGTCATTCAGCTACTGTTAAAGAGGCAGATCTGAAATCTAGGTTCTTTATAAACCATCCAAGTTCATGGTTCCCTGTCACTTATTATATAACCATCTACCTTCAGACAGAATTTCAGGCAGCTTTAAGATCCATGTATAAAAGAAATGTTAAAATGAAGGACAAAAAGATATATCATGGACAGGTGATAACCATGTGAGGGACTTATGGCTGAGGATAATTCTCACAATTGTCCCCTGAATTTATGACAGAGATTCTTAGAAGTCAAGGAAAAATGAGGAATCAGTACGAGTTATTCTCATTGTCTGGTAAAAGAGAACATGAAGCATACACGTTTTCTACAAAAGCAGACTTTTCTTCAGTCCTAAACTCAAGGACTTTGATATGTGGGCCATTGAGTTCTGTGGTGTCCCTTCTATAATAAGGTTTCATATAGTAAAGTTGTGGAACAAATTTTACATGGCTCTTAAACTATGGTACATTTAGATAAAAGCTGAGAGGCTAATATTAACTTTTTTAGGAGTGGTTCCATTGTGTAGTCTGGTTATACTATTTTCTAGCTTGAGATGGGGAGAGAGCTTTGGAAATGGAAAAGAATGAAGGGTTGTTACAGTCTCGTAGCTTTTTCCAGTTTTCAGTAGCCTCATCCAGGCTTGTCAAATTAACTTGCATATAATAATTCAACCTTGAACTCCAGTGAGGTCTAGAGCAGAGATATTCTGTGTGATGACTGAAGAGCTGTCCAAAGACTTGACCAGAAAGGTAGTCATCCATAGACAAGATCTATAGCAACAAAGCATTTCATTCATTCATTTGTATTCATTCAAGACATATATGCCACATACGGTTTTAGGTTATGTGGCTATAACAGTGAACAGACAGACAAAACCTTTGCTGTCATGGAGCTGAAATTTCTGCTGTGGGAATCAGACAATTACAGACAAATCAACTGATGTCAAGTAGTTACATGCTCTGAAGATGAATAAGGCAAGGAGAGGGATTGGGGTAGAGGGTTGGTGCCGTTTTATAGAATGATTAGGAGACATTTGAGAAGATATTGAAGGAAATGCTGATATCTAGAGGAGTATTGTGTGCAGAGGAAACATCATGTGCAAAGACCCTGAAGCAGGGCATGAAAATTAAAGAGCCCGAGATGTTATCATAATGGAGAGCAAACTATGGACATATAAAATATAGGAGTCATCCTGAGTCCTTCCTTCCCCACACATCTAATTACGCAAGTCCTGCTGGTCCTCTCTCAGCACACGCACTGGATCTTGTGCACGTCTCTCTGCTCTTACCCCCATCCAGTCCTTTCTCATCTCTTGCCTTGCCTATTGCAATAGTGTCCTAACTGGCCTCCCCCTTGCCACTTTGCCAATAGCAAAACATTTTTCACATTTAAGACTGCAAGTCAGCACATAACTGACCCTGGCTTCTTGAACCCTGCCTATTGTTCTTGCAGTAAATTCCAAATCCCTCCTTCCCATGTGTCCACGACCTTGATGACCTGGCTTCTGAGGACCTCTCTGGTGCCAATTCCCACAGGCTCTCCTGGTTTACTCTCTCACAACACTGCAGCCACTCAGTCTCCTTCTGTTCCTGGGCTACCCTTGGTTCTCCTGTCTTTAAGCCTCTGCACTTTTTCTTCTCTCTGCCTGGCTTTCACTAGAAAGTTTTCACCAACTTTTCACTAGAAAGGGGCATTTTATCTTTGAGAGGTCTCGGCTCAAATCACCTTCCCCAAAACCATGCAGTTCAATGCAGGCCACATCTCCCCAGTTACTAGCATACCCCTGGCATATTTTCTTCATAGCAGTTTATTTACAGTAATCATATTTACTGCATGTATCCCCCAAAAGACTGTAAGCTCCATGAGGGGAGGATGCTTGCCTGATTCACTGCTGCATCCTCAGTGTCTAGCACGGTAATTACAGCAGACGGATGAATAAACATCAGAGTAAATATTGGTGAACAAATGGATGAGGTTAAGTCCCTGGTACATGCTGGGTTTGGGGTTTTGCACTTTACCTGCATTATATAACTACATCCTTCACCACTGCTCTTAATTTTACAGATGAGGAGACTGGGTTCCATGGAAGTTAAATCATTTGCTCAAATCAAGTTAGTAGGATAAACCTGTTTTCCTATCCCTGTATTGTGCTACTTATTGCACAGAAATTGTTCTTAAAGAGCCAAGTCTGAATCAAATATTCAGTTGAGATGTTGCATTTCCAAGACAGGTGAAGACAGAAGAGATGATTTTTGGGTCAGGACAAGGGTAAGAGTAATGGTTAGCAGCTGGCTTCGCTGTTGTAGAAGGTCTGTTTTTAGTGGAGCTATCATAATGAGCTCCTTCAGGATTAATGATTTGAGCAATTAGTAAGATTATTGATGTGCTTTGACTGTTGAATAGTGCTCAAAGTGATTTTTAATTGACTGTGAATTAATCTTGTGTTCTGAGCGTGTATGAAGCAGTAGGTTGAGCTACAACTTAAGGTAGACAGTGGAGAAGTATTTTCCAGGTTGCTACAGCAGGAGGCCATGCCTTCTGCTCATTGAAAAGTTGTACTGTATTGACATATAAAAACAACTCTGCATCATTTAAAATTGAAATCTTATCTTTCTAAAACCCATTCCTACTCCCCTCTTTATTCCCAAACCAATAATATGATATTATGACATGGATTTCTAAGGAATTGACTATCTGGAATCTATGCTGAATAAATAATACATCTTGGCCTACATTTGCTTCCTGGATACCAAATCAAAAATTGATGGATTAATGCTGTGAAAATTTATAGGAAAAGGGTAATAACCCTTTAAGGTGAAACAGAATTGCACAATGGCCAATCCTGTGGCAAAGCCAGCCTATCTGTCATGTGAGCTCAAGGGGTTAAGATACCCAGAAATGAAACAAGAACAAAGATATTTTTTCAGGATATAGACAAGAGTTTCTTATCTCTTTAAAATCATGGGGAACTTTGAGACAACAATACATGAATTGTAGATTAGGTTAAAAAAATTTGGCAAGGTTTGGGTTTTACCACCATAACTTGCTAAGAATCCCATTCCCCACAGTGTTTCTATAATAACATACAAGGCCAGGCCCATGGAGGAAGACGGCACTTACATGGTGGAAACTGTTTTGCTTGGCAAAGAAGAGATGGCACATTCTGCTTTTTAGATATCATGTTTTTAAAAAATGAAGTTTGCATCTGTGAGTATAGAACAGAATAACACATTAAATAGACACAATTAAACCTTAATTATAAAATGGTAAACAGTGAAGTCTTTTAAAGTCTGGCAGCTGGGAATAAACAAAAGAACTGCAGAGAAAAAACACAGAACTTGACATCATGAGGCATGAGCTCATTTCATACAGCTTATGTGTACATAATCCTATTCAGACAGCTGGGACTGCCTTCTATATAGAATTTTGACAAATGCTGGAATTTTGGCTTCAGTTTTAACTAAAGTTACATCTGGTTAATGTAATAAAATTAATTTTTTAAAACTCACTTTTTCCTCACAAGGTAAAAGGATTCTTCAGCTCTTTGAAAGAAAATGGTTCTCAGCTCCGTTGTGTCCAACAGACAATTGAAACCATTGAAGAAAACATCCGTTGGATGGATAAGAATTTTGATAAAATCAGAGTGTGGCTGCAAAGTGAAAAGTTTGAACTTCTGTAAAAATTCCTCCCTTGCCAGGTTCCTGTTATCTCTAATCACCAACATTTTGTTGAGTGTATTTTCAAACTAGAGATGGCTGTTTTGGCTCCAGCTGAAGATACTTTTTTCCCCTTCAACTCATTTTTTGACTGTCCCGGTGAAAAGATTGGCTGTTAGTTTTTCATGAGTGGGCTATCGCTACCATGTGTTTCATTCATCACAGGTGTGGCCCTGCAATGTAAACCCAAGTGTTGGGTTCCCTGCCACAGAGGAATGAAGTGCCTTATTCTTCTCATTTTATATTTTACGCTTAAGCCCCCCAGTGTCCAAAACCCTGTGCCCCACATTTGTCATTCATAAACTGTTTCATCAATTTCCTCGAAAGATTCTGAATAGTCGACTACTGAACAATGAATACCTGGATCCGAGACTAAGCCAGATGATGGCTGGGTTAAAGCTCTGGCTCTCCCCGCTGACCCCTCCAGACCCGCTGCCCACCCCTCTCTTCCTTGCTCCATGCCCAGGGGCTGACTTGTAAAGGCCAAGTCCTCAAGCTTCCTTGCCCTTTGGATGTTGGTCAGTGGGGAGCCAGAGAGCTGGAGCTGGGGTCGGAGGAGGTAGTAGGTGTTCTTCCCTGATTCCCTTACTGGATGCCTTGGGCTGGCATCCCCTGAGGGTCTTAGCTCCTGAGAGGGGACCCTCTTTTCCACACAGCCTTCTCCACCTCTGGATTTTGATAACTGCTCCCTCCTCATCCCTTCAGGATTAGGGGCCTCAGTGGGAGCCTGGCTTTTACTAGTCCTGGCGGGACTTGTGGTTTCCACATAATGTGCTTGTACTTTCGCAAAAAGTCTTTTTATAGAACCCCCCTCAGATAATTCTGAGTGTCATCTATTTCCCTGACTGATACAGTATCTCTTCTGAAAAAGCAGAGTGCATTCAAGTCTGTAGGAAAACCCTTTTCTTAGGGAGGTGATTCTTTTCTCTCTCTGCTTCTTATTTGGCCTAGTTTACAATTTCTAAATAACTAGTTATTGGCATTTACTGACAGTAAATTATTGCAGGGTCACCAATAAATGATAGTACATTGTGAAACAAAATATTTGCTCATATTAGCAAATAGGACATTCTTTGGCTTTGAAGTCTTTTGTGAAGACTTCACACACAGTTGCTTCAGCACACAGTTGCTGCTCAGGTTTTATGTATAGGTAATAGAAAGCACAGTTTACTAACAGGGTAAACCAACAGAGTTCAAGTCAGATAATACCCTAAGAATTAGATTTTATTTCTTATTCTGAAAACTTGCTACACAGGGACTTATCTAACCCACAGTGTGCTGTGTTGCTGACTTGATTAAAGTTGCATCGTGTTTTGCGCCGACTATAAGGTGCGGAAATCCTCACACCTGGCAAAGAATTCAAACTGAACTTTTTGAATATAAGGCAGAAATTTCAAGATACGGGAATATGATTGATATGAAAAATGTCAAAATGTGTTCCTCTAATACACGACAGAATAGAGTGACTTCTGGACATAAATCTCCAATTTATTAAACCATTCACCACAACAAATAGGTATAAAAGTGGAATTGGAATTTTTATACTTGTTTGTTGTAGTGAATGGTTTAATAAAAATAGAAATCACTGGTAATTTCCACCCTTTTAACGATTTCCCTTTTAAAAAAATACACAACCAAGATTTTAATGTAAAATATTTTGCTTTAATTTTATGCCTTGATTAGTGAAACATGGAAATACTGATTTTCAGTTTTGGTCACCTGAGGAACCTACTTTCATTTGCTTTTGGAAAAGCCCATTTTCTAAACAGATACAATGTTGCCACAACAATGTGCAGAAAGCTTTTTGGTAATAAAAATTGTTCTTTGCCTCTAAGTGGGTATTTGCAATTATTTTCTCCTAACTAGATTGTAAAAAGGGCTGCTTTAGATCCTGTAGCTTACTCCAGTTATTAGTTATTAACAAACACCCAAGTTTTGAAGATATTTCTAATTAAAAAAGAAGGCATATTCAGAGTACCTTAAATAAATGTTTACTTTTATAGGCGTCTTTAAACTTCTGGATTTTGGTATGCCATTTAAAAATACTTCTAGATACGCATGGAAATTAGTAATACTGCAGCCATATCCTTGCAGACACATCTGTCAGTGTCAAAGGCTTCAAGATTTTTCTTAAAAAAAGAAAACAAAAAAGCAAACACCTCTACTGCCCAAATGGGAGGATTAGACACATAGTTAGAAATCCCTCAGGAAAAGTGTTTTTTCTTTTCTTGTTGCTGCCTTAAAAATAGAATATTGACTATTTCTGATGGACAGAGACAGCATTTTAAGCTGGTGGAGTGTGAAATCCCACAGGTATGTGCATGACTTTCAGAGAGTTATTTGGCGGGGAGGTTAACAAGATGTGGTGCCATTTATAAGCAGTGTTTTACTGTTTTTGCTTGCCCCGCTGCCACAAGTCAGCTAAGTCATAACAAAAGCTTCAAACTGATGCTAAGGAAGGCCATGCCCTTTGGAAACAAGAAATTCCCAATCTGTTTTATGTTATGTACCTGACCTCTTTTCCTGCATTCACTACCATGAAATAAGGATGAAATTAAATATCAAAATTCTAATCGATGATATCAGTGCAATGTTCAGGAAATATTCATTCAGAAAGATCTGAGAAACCATTCAAAGTGGTAGGACATCAGAACCTACTTACACTGCTGTGGGGGAAATGCAGATTTAAAATTATATATATATAATTTTTTTTAAAGCAGAAGTTTCTTTTTGTATTTGGTAAACGTAAGTTCCATAAAGCCAGATGCTATACAGTGCAAAGACTAATGTGGCAATAGCTCTAAGGACAAGTTGCTGCTCAGGTTTTATGTATAGATAACAGAAAGCACAGTTTACTAACATGGTAAACCAACAGAGTTCAAGTCAGATTAATACCCTAAGGATTAGATTTTATTTGTTATGCTCGAAATTTGCTACACAAGGACTTATCTAACCTATATTTTGCTCTGTTGCTGACCTGATTCAAGTCTCAGTGTGTTCTGTGCTGACTGTAAGATGCACAAGTCCTCACACCTGGCAAAGAAGAGTTCAAGCTGAAAAGGGGTTTGGTGCTTCCTGGTTTGTCCAGGTTACCTGTTATTAATTTATTATTAGCAGCCCAAGAGGAGATATGTGCCCAATGTACAATATCTTATGTTTGACTTATAAACATTATCCCAAAGCAACATCAAATACAGTTCAAAAGCCCAAGAGGAAAGGGGGTAATAAGAAATCAGAACATTGAAGAATGTTTAAAGCATTGTTTTCCAAACACTAACAAAAAAATTAAGTGCAAACTAAAAATACAAATGAGATTTACAGGCACTGTGTGTAGAATGTGCAAAAATTCGCTTAGATTTTCTTTTGTTTTTTTGGTGTTGCTTTAAGAAACTTTATCAAATATATTTACTACAAATATAAAGCTTTCTTTCTCTCCCAATTGAAGGCAATTAAAAAAATTCAAAGTTTATCAATACCCAGTACAATAACACAGGTGAACCAGTCAAATTCATTTTCTTTCTGGAAAAGAATAACAAACCAATATTTAGGATGTTCAAAGGCTCAACAAAAACCAGTCTAGAAATCACCCAGAACAATTGTTTTGTTGCCAAAGACTTTTGTTCTTCAAAAGTCACCATCCACCAGCTGAAGATTTTATATGCAGATACCTTGAAAAATTCAAATAAAAAATGCAGTGAATCATTTAATATGTAATTTTCTTGTTACAGGCATAGTAAATACCACTTAGCAAAAGCATTGTATAACAGACAAGAAGGAATTTCCTATAAGTCAACATGAAAGTGGATTAATAGAATTTTTTTAATTTTGGGAAAAATGTTAGAACAGTTCTAACTAATAAAGCTCCTTTTTTATAGAAAATACAGATAGATCATGGTGAGAGAGCTGAACTCGATTTAACCTATACTTGATTTCTTTTACGCTTTGGTCAGTAAGTGCTTGTATGCTTTTAAGGCTTACATTAAGCCTTCTCCTTTCTGAAGATTAAGATAAGGGTCCAGCTCTGAAGATCTCAGAAATTCCTTCATCTGTCCAATTTCTTCAGTAACCATAAATTAGAGTCAGACACAGTACTTTACTTTCCAAAATAATGACAAATAAAAATGGCCAATATTTTCCTTTGCCCTTTTTCCCAAAACCCTGTAATTTCCACCAGACTCTAAAGGGTACTTCTCCCCACCCCACCACGTACTGGTATTTTGGGGAATACCAATATCTTCATGACATTTTGCTAAGTTGTAACATGCTAATTTTGCTTTGCCACAGTAACCTGCAGTAATGAGCATCTGGATTTCAAAGATTCAACTAGCCTCAGATGGTCATTTTAAGTGCCTGGCCTAATATTTTAAAAAGCTTTTAATTACAAGATTAAGGTTTTTAAACATTTCAATAGCACAGTCATCCCATTTAGTGCTTTAGAAGAATGACCAGTTACTCTGTAGAGCTTGCAGTATGCATTTCATGCCAACAGTGTAAAGTGAGCATGAATTACTCAAGAGGTGGACCTCACTTCTCTCATCTGTAACACATGAACTGGCAGAAGGTACAGTTGTCTTCATTTACAAATAAACACCCAACTTACCAGATACTTTAACTTGTATTTCTTTCATCATCTTTTGGCTTGGAAGTTTCCTCTGTTGTCTAAAAGGGAAAGCAAAAACCATCTGTGAGCTCTTTCTTTTCTGTATTAAGTATGAGGAGATGGCCTTCTCAGAATTAGGGGACAAAAGGTGGCAGTCAGTGGGGAAAAATAAGATGGTCCTTTCAGTTTCTCTTCTTCATT